CGTTACTTTGCTGTAGGTAAGCCCAGTCGACGGCGTGGAGACAAAGTAGAGTAGTGCCCGATTAAGTTCCTCGAGATCTTCTTGTTCTGGCTGCTTCAGATGCGTCGCCAGTTGGCTCGCGCTATAAGAGAGATCGGGTCGGCAGGTTACTGCTGCGAATAGTAGGCAGCCGAGCTTCTGCTGATACTCCTGGATTTGCTTCGTGGGGAGTTTTGCGGAGGTGCTGTTGTTGTTCTCGTAGCGGTAGGGAGTCGGGACCGTAGTCGGCGTTAGACCGAATTTCTTCGCGACAGTGCCTGCGTACTTTCCAGCGTGTAGGTAGAACGCCGAGTTGTCTTCGACGACATTCAGTCCCAGGTACTGGGTCACTGCGTCGGACACCGTGAGTGTCAAGTCCTCTTTCAGCTCCCCTTCGAACCAGGTGGCGATGTCGGTAGTGGAGCCGATGTAGAGCAGGTCGTCGACGTAGACGATGAGTAGGATATACTCTCTTCCCTTCTGCAGTCGGTACATGCCTTGGTCATGCAGCAGCTGTAGGAATCCGATTTTTACAAGGCGACCGTGAAGATGCTGCTGCTAGAGCCGCGGGGCTTGCTTGATCCCGTAAAGGGATTTTATCAGCTGGCATACTTTTGTAGGGTCGTCGATGAATCCGTGGGGCTGCTCGACGAAGATCTCGGCGTCCACAGGTGCGTACAGGAAAGCATTTGCAACGTCGATTTGGCGCAGTGGTAGTTTCTTCGTGGCCGCGACGGCGAGTAGGATGCGCAGGGAGGTGTGACGGGAGACTGGGGCAAAGGTTTCTGTGTAGTCGGTTCCGTATCGTTGATCGAAGCCTCGTACGACCCATCGAGCTTTGAGTCGTTCGATGGAGCCGTCCGCGTTGGTCTTGATGCGGTACACCCACTTTCCCGAGAGGACGTTCTTCCCGTTGATTGTCGTTGTAGGTACCAACTTCCATGTGTTTCGGTCTTGAAGAGCTTTTAGTTCCTTTTCCATCGCCTCCTTCCATTTCGCCTTATGTTCCCCCCCAAGAGCCTGCGACAGAGTCGAGGGCTCGCGCGGAGATGGCGGCGGCGGGTGCTGGACGGAGACCCATAGGCCGAGGATCTGCAGTCCCGTGGGTGTGTGTCGAGGGGAATTTTCATTCCCGGAATAAGCTGCTTCGTCACCATCTTCTGGATCAGGTAAGAAGTTTGGGCCGATGCGTTCTGAAACATTCGTGTTGACGGGGTGGGGTGTAATGTAACCTTGGTCAGCGAAGTGGTAAAAGGTGTCGAGGTTGTTGCTATCGAGGGGATTGTCTTCGTCGAGTGGAACAGGTACGGAACAGAAAGGGAGTGGTCCGGCAGCTTCCGAGGCTCCAGGTACGTCTTCTTCTGCTGCGTCAGCCTCGGCAGCACGGTCGGCGAAGGAACGAAGGCCCGCGAGGCCGTCGGTGGGGTCGTGTGTGTTGGCAATGTTGTCCAGGTAATGCTGCAGCGTCAGTCGCTCGTAGAAGATAACATCACGTGATGCCACTGTATTTTTGTCTTGTATGTCGAGGATTTTCCATGCGTGAAAATGTTTGGCGATGCCGAGGTGTAGTCCCCACCGAGCTCGTTGAGTGAAGCGTCCTGCTCGGGCTGTGTGGGGTCTGTACTGTACCATGCAGCCGAAAACTCGAAGTAATTTTGTGCTGCCCCTTTTTCGTGTCCACAGCAGGTGCGGTGATGCGTTGTTGGGAAGCGATGACGAGGACAACAGATTGTGCAGGTGGACTGCATGTGTCATCGCGTCTGGCCACAGTGTGGTGGGCAGTCTCATTCCCAGGAGCAGCTTTCGCATCGTCGTCTGCAAGGTCCGGTTCATGCGTTCTGCGACCCCCTGCTGCTGGTGAGCGTAGGGCAGAGACACCAGGCGTCTGATTCCTCTTTCCGCAAGATAGGTCCTGAAGCGTTGTGACTGGTATTCCAGTGCACCGTCTGACTGGAAGCTTTTGAGCTTGGTTCCTGATTCTCGTTCGGCGATGGGGAGCCATGTCGTGAAGGCGTCGAAGGCTTGATCGCGTGTCTTAAGGTTGTAGTGCCAGACGTATCTTGTTGCTGCGTCGATAAACGTGATGACATAGTTGAAGTCGGCTTCAGTGTCTTCTCAAGGCATGTTTAAAATGTCGATGTAGACTTTTTCCATCGGTGCGTATGCAGGTGCGCTTGGGTTGTGATGGGATGGAAAAGGCTGGTGGGGAAGATCGGCTTCGGGGCACGTAAAGCATCGTGCGCGTGGTCGTCGAAGTTCTTGGCCGCTCGTTGTAAGGAGGGCGTTTCGTTCTAACACTTCGGCTTGGATGGTTTGCAGTATTGTACTGTTTGCAGGATGTCCGAGGCGTTGGTGCCAGATGTCGTCGGGAGCGCGATGGCTGGGCGAGCGGTGGTATATGTCGGTGTTGGAGAAGAACGCGACGACCGTGGCGGGACTTCGGCAGACTTCGCGTGTGATGGGCATAAGTTGATCTGCTTCGGTTGGCGGTCCACGGATCGCTGGCGATGGTACTTGGCTGGGTCCTGCTGCTGCTACTGTAGGTGATGTCTGGGAAGAGATGCTTGCTGGTACTTGTCTTTCTTGTCTGATGACTGCTAACGCTCGTGTTCTCTCTGCTGCAGGTATGGTGTTGGAGTACCAGAATCCGTCGGGGTTGAATTCGGGGTCAAGATCCGGCGGGTGTGTCCAGGCGGCGAACGACACGATGCCATCACTGTCGGCAGTACCGCGGTCGGGGACGAAGTCCAACACGAAGACGCCTGACTTCAGGAGAGCACGACCGATGAAGAGGCCGCCCTTCCCGTGTTAAAGGCGAAACTCGTTGGAGTCCGAGTCGCACTCCAGGTGAATTCCTTTTGCCATTAGCTGGCTGACGCTTAGCAGATTGTATCCCAAGTTGTCGACGATTAGAACGTTGTTGAGTTGCAGGATGACATTTGTTTCCATGGACTATAACTGAACGACTCCTTGTCTGTTTGTTTTCAGGTTCTCGTTGTTGGCGACGGTGATGATGACGTCGCGGTTGAGGCGTCGCTCTCGTTGCACGAAGCGTCCGGAAGAACACATGTGTTGACCGCAACAGCTGTCCAAGAACCAGGTGTTTCGCCCGGTGGGTTCGGCGTTGGCGACCACAGCGTATGTCGGATTGACCTGAAGTCCTTGTGAGCGCGGCGGCGGAAATTCTTCTTCGTCTGGCGCATGAGTGGGTGGTGATCCGGGTGCGCAGTTGTTGATGTGTACCATGCAGTTGATGATGTTCGGTGTCCCTTGTGCAGATGTGGAAGAACGCCTTGGAGGACTTTCTTGAGTGGAAGCGACTTGTGGGTCTACTGGACGATAGACGCGAGGACGTGTGCAGTTGACTTTGGAATGTCCGGATGTTTGACAGTTGTGGCAGAACGGCGGCACGATGGTGAGTCCTCTGTTGTCGCGTTGATCTTGTTTGCCGCGTCGATTGTAGTTGTTGTCGTTCCTTCGTTGAGTGTAGAAAACTAACTGCTGCTGCTTCCTTGGTTGCCTTTCTTCGAACAGGTCCATCTCCTGTTGTTCGGCATGAAGTTCGGTGCAGAGGTGCATCTCCGAGATCCTTCCGTGGGCGCGAAGAAGCGAGCGTGTGGTTCTCCATTCTGGCCCGAGCCCTGCGAGGACAAGCGTCACGAAGCTTTCTTCAGTGATTGTTCCTCCGCACCGAAGCAGGCGGTCGCGGAGGGTCTGGCATCGACTCATATACTGCATCGCTTTTTCCCCGGTCTTCATCTGGATTGTTGTCAGCTGTTGCATGAGTCTGCTTTGTGTCACGCTGTCGTTTGCTTCATAGAGACACTTGAGATGATACCATGCGAGTTCCGCAGAGTTTCCATAGCTCCGATACGTTCTGATGCTCTGCTGTTCTTGTGGTGACAGGTTCCGCAAGAGAACTGTGTACGCCAGCAGCGACTGATCAGTAAATATTTCTTGCTCCTTTGCAGTGTCGTTGCTTGGAAATGGCAGGGACCCGTTGAAGTATCCCAAGAGGTGCGCAGCCTCCATCAGCAGCTCGAACTCAAAGCTCCAGGTAAAGAAACCGTGTCCGTTGAACGGTGAGGATGTCTGTAACTTGATTACGTGTGAAAACTGCGCCTGGCGACTCAAAATCTCGTTTGGTGTCTGTTGTGATGCAGCTGCTGTTGGTTGGGCACGGGGCGGCATGAACTCGAATGTCCCCGGTGAAGAGTGATAAGGCGCAAAGGTAGGCGCTTGATTGTGTCGCCCGAACGATGAGTTGTCAAGGCTCATCGGCGCTAATCCCATGTTTCCTCCGTTGCTCTGTGTTGAATGCGCAGGTGTCCTTGTCTGCTGCTGGTCGAAGTGCGACATGAAGCTGAAGAACCTTTCCATAAGGTTCGGATCCACACTTGAAGGGGGTGATGGGGTCACCATTTCCGGTGCCCTTCCTGTTGTTTCTTGAGCAGCGCCGGTCTCGGTTTGCAGTCCTGAAGTGTGCAATCCAAAGTTGCCGGGTTGAGTGTCTTGGGCGCTGGGTGAGCCTGTAGAGGTTTTCTTGCCCTTGCTGTCCATGACTTGTAATCAATGAAGTCGTTGAATTGCAGATTGTAGATAGAGCGTAGTTGCTGGGAGTTTGGTCTCTGACCAGCTCTCATACCATGTTGGGCTGAGAAAAGCCCTTAGGATCTTTCCAGAGACTAAGTCCAGTTGAGGAATGAGACTTGAGTAATGCAGCGGAAGTTGAGTAGTTGAACCCTTGTACTAGTATATGAGAACAAGTGATTGATTAAAGAAACAAGCATACAGAAATATATAGAAAATAGGAAAGTAAAGCAGTTGTAGAATACAGTTGCAGGAGCGGTTATCGAGTCGCACAGCGACTCGATTGTCGCTTCGGTTACCATCCGCGCTGTTGTAACGGTCAGTCGCAACCTCCAGTTGCGACCCTTCGAGTCCCTTCGCGTTCTTTGTCCGGCCCCTCGTGTAACCTCCGTTGACTCGCGTACCCGTTGCGATCTTCCTCGAGTGTAGTGTTACACTTCAGAAACGCTGAAGTCCTTTGAGATATTTCCAACAAGGCCTAAGGCGGAAGTGCGGGTGGGCCGGGGGGGACCTAACCTAGCGTTTTACCATGTCAAAGTGAGAATGAATGACTAGAATGATGCAAACAGGTTGGTTTTGTCTAAGGGGTTGAACCCTCTAAGAGTATGCACCTATCTAGCTTGTAAGACATACAAAATATGTTTGACAGACAGATGGTAACTCAAATGCTCTACAGCAATCTCCTTGACCCCATCCAGCGCCGTTGTAAATCTTTAAGATTCTTCGGGCAGGGATGAAAGCCCTCCGAAGGTCGTATCATATTCTCTGAGCGGGATGCAGCCCCATATCAGCAGCACCCACTGCATGCAGCCCATGCATCCAACATGGTTTCCTCCTCACGAGCAATCCTTTATCCTCATATTCTTTGCGCCGGGTGCAGCCCCATCTCAGCCCCCACTGCATGCAGCAGCGAGCGCAGAGATGCCGCCAGCTGAGGGTCCCTGCTGGTTGGGCAGGGTGCAGGGAAGCGGTGATGGTTCAAGAGTTAGGGGGGTTGTTTGCTGCCATATGGAATGGAATGGACCTAGCTGGGTGATGGGGTGGGGGGAAGGGAGGGGGGGGGCAATCACAGCATCGATCATATGGGCCCACATGCTCCACAGAAGGCATATTGCCATGGCAATGCTAAACAGTTTAGATACCTTGCAAGGATGAGGTCGCAGGCGAAAGGGTAGATGGCAAAGAGGTGCGCCTTCCTCCATCCCATGAAGCCCCCTCTGCCATCCGATAGCACCTCCCACTCACAACCACTCTCACTCCCTTTCGCCCTCACACCATCGCCATTTCCGTTCACCCCTTCACTGCCATCCTCCCCACCAGTGCCATCCGCACGAGCCGCTGGGTACCCACTGCGGCCAGACAATGGGGGTATTGCGGGACGAGCCGAGGCAGCAGCAGCAGAGGCACGAGCAGCAGGGGCAGAAGCAGCTTTACTGCGGGGTGCTGTGGCAGCAGCAATGCTGTGGGAGAGGCTGGGTGGAGGCGCAGAGAGGGTGGCAGTCGATGCAGCAAGTGGAGCAGGGGGGGCGAGGGGAGCAGCAGCAGCGGAGGCACGGCGGTCCATGGCGGGGAGGAGGTGCGAGAGGGAGGTGGCAACAATGGGGTGCAGCGAGATGGCTGTGAGGCCCTCCAGGATCACCCGCACCTCCCTCCTGCGCGCCAATGCCATGCTGTCCGCTCCTGCACACAGAGGGAGGACAGGTAACGTGAGGAGAGAGGGAGAGGGAGAGGGGTGGAGGTGGGAGAGTAACAGCCACCGGCAGGTGCAGGGAAATGGCTGTGCAGCCCTCCAGAATCACCCGCACCTCCCTCCTGCACGCGAATGCCATGCTCTCGTTCCCTGCACAGAGGGGGGACAGCAGCGGAGGGAGGAGAGATGTGGCGGACTGGCAGTCCATGGCGGGGAGGAGGTGGAAGGGGAATAGGGGAGAAGGTGGAGCGAGGATTGGGGTGGAGGGCACAGGGTAGAGAGGAGAGAGTGGCGGCGGCCACAGCTGGGTGCAGCGAGATGGTGTGAGGCCGTCCAGAATCACCCCAACAAGGCCTTGACTCACCCCACACCAGAACAGTACCATCTCAACCAGCCCCAGGCATTCGCACCTCGCACAAGGCAGTACTCTGTGAGCCATTGGACACAGCGCTTGACAAAAGAGCGGACCCAGATTGCCCAAGACAAGCCCTCAGCCAACCCAACCACCTCTGCCCACCCCTCTGTACCCTGCCTCACCCCTCTCTGCCCTCTCTCACCCCGCACAAGGCAGTCCTCTGTGAATCGCTGGATGCGGCGCTTGGCAAACGCGAGGAAGCGAGGCGTGGCGATGCGAGCCACAAGCACTGCGGAGCTGGTGGCAGGGTCGGTCGGAGAGGGCTGCCTGGAGGGGTTAGAGGGGTGTGAGAGGAGTGGGAGGAGCATAAGGGAGAGAAACGAGACTTGGAGGAGGAGAAGCGGGGGCATGGCAATGCGAGCAACGAGCACTGCAGAGCTGCTGGTGGGGTCGGTTGGGCTAGGCTGGCTGGAGGGGTGGGAGGGAAGTGCAATGAGGGGGGGAAGCACAACGTGGGAGAGACATATGTGTGGTGAGACGAGCACAGCAGAGCTGCTGGTGGGATCGCTTCAAATCTAAGTTGGTACCTTACGTTTACGTGTACGATTTTTTACGTACGTTTACGGCTACGTTTACGTACGTTTACGTGCCTTTGATTTTAGGCCTGCATGTACGGGCAGCCTGAAAACTTTTTGGCTGCCCTAGGAAAAAAACTTAGGGAGGGTAGAAATCTGACTTTGTAAGAACATGGTTCACTCAGATTTTATAGTAGTATTATGCAAGCATACAGCGAGAAAACCCAAGTTTACCCCGAGCAAAACACCTACTCGGATCACTCTGAATCGCTAGATTCGTCCTCAGACTCGTCATCAGGCTCGTCCTCAGACTCATCCACAGTGGAAATGTCCAAGTAAGCTTCATCTTGGATGTCATCATCCTCATCAAGTGGCTCATAGCCATCCTTGGGCTCCTCTCGAATCACTGGTAGTGCTGTCACCATCATTTTCTTGGCGAAGTCCTCATTAAGTTTCTTCACAGTGTGGTAGTTGTGGCTGACGTACACTAAATCCGCAAGACGCTTAGGGCCGAGGCGGTTGCGGCGTGCGGTGTGGATGGACTCCCACACACCCCAGTTCGTCTCACATGTGGACGCCGACACGCACTGCTTGAGAATCTTGCACGCCAACTTCGTCAGGTGAGGGCAGTCGGAGCCATTCATAACCCACCACTGCACAGGATCCAGGTGACCCTCCTTGATAAGGATGTGTTCGTCCTTAGCTTTCTGCTCTCCAATTTCTCCCGTACCCCTGGTGTACGTCAGAATCTCGGTTTCCACAACTGTCGCCATTGGTGACAGGACGTTCCCCATCTTCACAGTCTCTCCCTTGTAGTAGTCGCGCACAAACTGTTTGAATACCTTGGTGCACTCGCGATCCGGTCCGAATATCTTCTCGTACTGGTTCGGCGGATAAAGAATGCGCCCAACCACATAAAGAGGGCAGTTGATGTCGTTCTCCCACCTGTTGCGCACGATCTCTGCAACCTCCTGCTGCTCGTCTGCCTTCAATCCCACGCTCGCCTTCTCCACTTGCTCCTCCAAATCGATCATCATCTCGTACATTTTGCCCATGACCTCCTGATTGCCGTCGACCTGCCTCAGCATCATGTAGATTGGCTTCAGCACAGCTACCACCTGTTCAACGCCCTTCCAGAATCCAGGGCGCTTAATGGTACCCCGTGCAACCCTCAGTTTAGGCCTCCCCTTCATGTAGTCCTTGAAACCCTTGGTCGACACCATCTTCTTCAATGTGCGACGCACCAAAATCAACCGCTCAAGAGCGATGTAGTTCGTCCCGAACCGAGTGCCTGCAGGCTTCAACACTTTCAGCGAGTCCTTCTCCCGAAAGTGGCCCGTGATCCACTGTGCGTTTTTCAATGTAGAAATGAGTTGTTGCGCCTCCTCGATGGTGGGTTTGGCCCAGTTAAGCTCGCCAATGTCTTTCATCAAGAGACTGAGCGCGTGTGCGGCACAACGAATCCACTGCACTTTAGGATACTCCTGCGCCATGATGCTGGCAGCGCTGATGTTCGCGCTCGCACCATCCATCAGCAGTCCAACGACGTTCTCTGCGCCGACCTCCACAATCGCGGTCTTCAAATGTTTGGCGATGTAGTCGGCTCCTTTCTTATCCGTGCCGCAGTCCACGCCAAACAGGAAGACGCTTGCACGGGAGTTCACCGCCAGGATGTTGAGCTGAGGTCGGCCTTCGCCATCCGTCCACCCGTCGCACGCGATGCTCACACCAATTTCGCTCCACGACTCCTTCACATCCTTGAGGGCGTTTTCGGTCTTCGACTTGCACTCCTCAAGCAGGCGACCCATGATAAGTCGACGTCCGGGTGGGGAGAAACCGGGTCCCGCAGCTGCCACCTTCTTCAGCATCGTCTTGAAGGCTTCATGTTCGGCCACGTTTGGCGGAATGCGACAAACGTGGAAGAACGAAGCAACGGCCAACTGCGCATTCGCAGCATCCACCGGCTTGGGACGTGTATCCGTGAGCGTCCTCTGCGTCGCCGGCCGCTTTCGCGCTCCACTGCTACTCTCGGGCATGTTCGTGGTCGTGTTGACGATAGGGGTATGCGCGAACGCATTTGCAGTCCTCTGGCTTGCTTTCTTCCGCTCGTCGTCATCGCTCCTTTTTTTCGCCAAGGCAGCTTTCACTTCCTCCTTCGCCTCGTCAGTAGCTGAGGGGCACGCGATTATGCCGCTATTGCGGATGCCAAGAATATGGTTCTGTGCGCGCACTACATTGAGCTTCCAAACGCGGTTGCAAAACTTGCACTGCTTGTCTACGGTGGAGTCGCATTTACCACCCTCCGGCACGTTGAAATACTTCCAAATAGGATGGTCATCAACGTTCGCCATGACAGCTGAATTTCAAAGCTGATTTTGGCTGGAAATATGAGTAAGTGCTGGTGCTGCTGGTAGTTCTGTGGATTCGGACTGAAATCTGTCGTAATTAAGTAGCAATCAGGATTTGACGTGCGGAAGAGTCACTGGAGCCGCGAACCAATTTAGGCGAAAGCGCTAGGACGAAATGGCATGTACGCGGAAACGTGTTGCTGCCGGTTGCAACGAAACCTACATGTAGTATGCGATTGGTCGAAATACTAGAAGGCATTTTCGTCGCACCTCAAATTTGCCGACGGGTGCTGGAGCGACGAAACTGATTACGCGGTGCGTGTGCTTGATTGATTGGGTGGCGAAAGTGGTGGGCGTCAAATTTGACGCGCTGGCAAACCACTCTGCAAAATTCTGCCGACAGAAGCAATTGCGACGAAAGGCATAGGGAGGTGCGAAACCTCGTCAATGTGCCGGCACGTCAAATTTGACGCGCTGGCAAATCGACGAGTCAACCCAACCGACCGCTCGCGCCCATCCCCTTCCAACCAACCCTTACCCAGCCCTCGACAAATAATCGCGTCCCCCTCCAGTCACGTAGATCCTAACCCACAGGATCCCGCCAACCTAGTCTAAGCTTAAGCTAGCACTTTAGCTAGGAAGGACCCCCCTCCCCCACACCAGCGCGACGATTAGGCGCGTGTCGCAGACTGAGGGGAGACCTTCAGCAGTAGTCTAGTAGTTAATTTCTAGATCGCGTTTAAGTATAGCTGCCGCGAGATGTTGATCGCGTTTTTCCCGCGGACAAATTTTGGCCCGGGAAAAAATTTAACGCCTGCCCGGTGGACGTACACGTAACGTACGCGTAACGTAAGGTACGCGTAACGTTACGTTACGCGTACGTGTACGTGGGCTGGATTGACGTAAAGTACCAACTTAGCTTCAAATAGGCTGGGTGAGGAGTTAGGAATGTGGCAGGGCAGAGGTGGGAGAGAGAAGCATAAGCGAGTGAAACAAGAATAGGACGCCAGGAAGCGAGGCGTGGTGAGGCATGCCACGAACACGGCAGGGCTGGTGACGGGATCAGTAGGAGAGGCTGGCTGGAGGGGCGAAGGGCGGGACAGGTTGGGGATGGGTGCAAGGCGCGACGTGGGAGAAGCATGTGCGAGGGATCATTCAGTAGGCGAGGTAGCGTGGACTGGGGCGGTGCTGCAGGCAACCAGCACAGCAGGGCTGCTGAGGGGGTCCCTCTGCCGAGGGGGTCGCTTTGCTGAGAGTATGGATTGCATTGAAGCAAAGCAAACAGGGTTAATATCCACATGGTGCCTGCTTGTGCTCCGGTTGTCAATTCGCGGGTGCCTACTGCCCGTGCTGGTGCAGCCCTAGTGATGACATGATTGTGACTGCTACTGCTGCTGCCCGGCTGCATGTTGCCTACCCACCCAGCAAGTATGAGAAACACAATTCACTCACCCGCATATCTGCGGCAACAGGTGGACGGCAGTGAAGCACACGGGGTGCAGCGTCTCCCTCCACGTGGAGCTGGAGCTATTGCTGCCACCACTGCCATTGCCACCAGCAATGCCGTTGGTATAGCCGCCACTGCCGCCTGCCTCATCACTCCCTCTGTGCCCAGCACCCCCAGCAACAGCCCCGCTGCTCGTCGTCCTGCCCACCACCATGTTGCCACCACCACCATCACTACCCCCCCTTACTACACTCCCTGTTCCCCTCACATCCTCCCCTCGCCCCCCCTGTCCCTCCCCCGACCCACGCCTGCCAGCACCCCCCCACCCCAGCCAGCTGCCCACCCGCGCCAGCCCACTCAGTGGCGCCTCTGGCCTTCCATCACCGCCAGACACCTGCCCTCCTGATAAAGACCCTGAAATTCCACCTGAACCAGCACCTGAACCTAAACTTAAGGCGGAGGCAGAGGCAGGGGTTGGGCCGGAGGCATTGCGAAGCGGTGAGACAGATACTGCAGGGGTGGAGAAGGAGCGGGAGCGGTCTGGTGCAGTGCGGTTGGATGCGGTGCTGGTGGAGGGTGAATGCGAGATGCTGCTGCTACCACTTGCAGGTTCGTTGGCGCTTCCTGTATCTGCAGGAGAGAGGCAGCTCAGCAGTAGAGTAAGAGCATGAAGTAAGAATAAGGAGGGAAATGGGCATTAAAGAAGAAAGCAAGAATTGTGGAGCACTGGGAAAACACGAAGGTGAGTAGAACGGAGTGTTATAGTGAGGCGAAAATTGTGACAGAATGGAGAGAGTAGATGCTTAAATCTTTCATTTTAGATCGTGTGTGTATGCATCCTGATCAAGCTTCACTGAACTAGTGTGTGATTAGCACACACGCTCATGTGCCCCCGCTCACCCCACTCATCCCACTCACCCCACTCACCCCACTCACCCTGCTCACCCCACTCACCCCACTCACCCCGCTCACCCTGCTCACCCCGCTCACCCTGCTCACCCCGCTCACCCTGCTCACCCTGCTCACCTGTGTGTCTCCCTGCTAGCCACACTCCCCGTCAGCTGCCCCCGCCCACGCTCTTTTCCGCCAGGCAGGGCGTGTAAGCCCGCACCGCACCACTCACCCTTCTCTGTGCTGCCGGCGCTGCCTGCCCCACTCCCCGTCAGCTGCACTTCGCCCACAGCCCGCTCTGCCAGGTCCAGCAGCAGCCCCACCAGGCGCTGCGTCGCCTGCCATTGAGAGTGGGGGGGTGTGGGATGAAAGAACGGAACAAGTGCGGGTGTGAAGTCTGCCACTCACTGTGTGCAATGCCCACCTTGCTCGCTGCCCGTTCAGCAGTAGCCCCACCAGACTTGCCCCACCGTTCCGCCTGCCGGCCGGGATTGACTTGGTGTTGGTGTTATGGTGATGGTGGTGCGTTCAGCGGATTGAGTGGTAGAGGTGCGTGCATGCTGGAACTCTCTGCGTGACTGGCTGGCAGGTAGCCATCCATGAAATGATTCTCGAAGGAATCCTCCGTGATAGTTGCATGTGGAGTAAAAGCCAGAAACAGGAGATAAGGAGCATGAGGGCAGCAGCTAGAGGGGCGGGAGTGAGTGAGACGCGTGCACCAGCCGTTCGATCTCGTAAGTCACCTCCTTACCACTGCGTTCATCACCTCGCGTTCATCCCACCCACGGCCACCGCTGCACCATCTCACATCCTCCGGCGCGTCTCGGGAGTATCTGAGCACTCGTTTTCCTTCTGACGCGCACCCAAAAGTTGACGCGCGTCAAAGCCCGAGCCCTTCAACATGTCTGCTCACCTCGCCTCACCTCACCTCACCACACCTCACTCCTCAGCACACCATTCACGTCGCTGGCTCACCTCCTCTGGCGCGTCTTGGCAGTATCTGAGCACCTTCTCTCCCAGCAGCCGCACCATCTGCTCCTGTAGCACCTCGTCCTCATGCACCTGGGCGGGCGGCATCCCTTGGGCGGACTTAGAATGCCACTCCCCCGTGCCCATTCCCCTCACCATCCCCTCCCCCGCACACATGCCCCTCACCACCCCCTCATACAGCCCCACCAGCTCCCGCCAGAACCGTTGCCGCACTGCTGGCTCCCATGTGGCTGTGGACCCAGAGAGAGAAACGCACTGCTGCTGCTGCTGCTGCTGCTGCTGCTGCTGGTGGTCGAAACCCGTGTCTGGTTCCATCACCAACGCACAGCTGCTTCGCGAGTCCAACTCCGCCGCTCCCACAGACTCTCCTCGGGGCCCTCCATGCAGGACGCTGATCTCCCCCTTCCCCCGCGCATTGTCTTCACTCGATTGGCAAGAGGGGAAGGGGGTGTGAGAGGGGGGGTCTAGGCTGCACGGAGGGGAGTCTAGCAGCAGCGCATGGTTGAGGACGTCCGCGAATTGGAGCACTGAGGTGCGCCACAGAGGCGAGTTGGGCTGGTCGTGACGCACAGCCAGACACCTGGGAGGAGGTTGGGGGGAAAGGGGGGGTGGGGCAGGGGGGGACGGGGATGGGGGGAAGGGGGAGGGGGGGGGAGGGGGGGGAGGGGGGTTCAATAGAAGAGGGAGCACGTGGTTGAGGACGTGAGCGAATGGGAGGAAGAATGTGCGGCAGAGCGGCGAGTTGGGCGGGTCGTGATGCACGGCCAGGCCAGACAGACACCTGGGGAGGGGAGGGGAGGTGAAGACTTGAAGGGGCGAAAGAGAAGGGAGGATTGAGAGTGAAAGAAGGGGAGCTGGGCTGGTCGTGACGCATGGCGAGGCACCTGCGAGGGGGAGAGCAGCATGGGAGGTGAGTGGGAGGTGAGTGAGAGGTGAGTGGGAGGTGCGTGAGAGGTGAGTGAGAAGGTAGATGACTTTGAGGTGAAACGACAGGAGTGGGCGTGGAAAACGGCCAGGCACCTGAGGTGGTGGAGAGGTGAAGGGCATGGGGATGGTTGAGAGGCAGACAAGCGAGAAGGATTTTTTTAGGCGCCTCAAAAATCGAGAAGGGAGGAGACTGAGAGTGAAGGGACGGAAGTTGGGGTGGTCGTGACGCACGGCGAGGCCACCTGGGGGTGGTGAGGTGTGAGGAGATGAGAGTTGAATGAAAGGCAGAACAATGGGGAGGAGGAGTGAGAGCGGAATGGAAGGCAGATCAAACGGGCGGTGAGGGAATCAGAGTTGAATGCAAGGCAGTCGGTAGGGCGGTGAACGGATGGATGTTAAGCTGGTTGTAACGCACTGCAGACACCAGATAGGGGGAGGAGATAGGGGAGCGGGGAGGGGGAAGGGAGAAGCGGGACAGGAAAAAGGGGAAGGGCGGAGGGGGAATCAGCGAGGATGGTCGGGTGTGCCCAATGCGACGTTCTCCTCTTCGCCTCATCGTCTCTCGCCTATCCCGCCCCGCGACCTTCCCCCCTCGCCATTCCGCAAATCTCCCCCCCTCCCGTCGATCCCTCCCTCGCTCCCTCGCTCGCTCATCCCAAAAAAGGGGGGTGAGCGGAAGTAGCTTTTTGCGGAGTAGGGTAAAAGTAGCATTCAGACATCAGTGGCGAAACATACTTTCGCCGCGTCGCTCCCTCGCTCCCCCGTTTTTTCCCCTCTGCTGAGTTTTCGCCTCAAGACAAAGGTCGGTCGTACGCTAAGCGCATCGCAACTGGGAGATAAAATGTCGAAAGGAACGAGGTTTGCCGCACCTGCCGAGCCACGCAATGAGGTCCGGAATAGCTTCGGGCGACACCTTGCGATACCCCGAGGCTAGCTCCGCCATGCCGAGCCACGACCGAACCAGCTAAGATCGGGCGAAGCCGGCCGCAAGAGAAGCTCGGCCAAGCTGAGAAACGAAAAACTCGGCGGGGGCTACGTGCCTGGCACGTGGCAGGGGGGTTACGAGTACCCCGTCGGGAGTCGAGTGCGGGAAAGAAATGCAACTAATGCACCGATGCGACGGTAACAAGCAGATCAGGCGGCAATCACAGCTTTTGCCGAATCATGCAGGGAATCTGGGGCAGCCTTACAAATTAGCCATCAGACAATCCGAAGAAATGCTACTAGCATCTGTCCTGTGAGCTACAATCTCCGTTATAGACCGCCTTTTCCCGAATATCACCAATTTGAGTGCATATACATTGGGCTCGTTTCTTCCTCGCTTACAACACGTCATCACTAGTGGAAACACATCATTTGAGAACACTTGAAGCAATTGTTCATTCCTAAACAAGGCAAGTGCAGGAAGACTGGTAAGTCAGCTAGGGAAAACGACGTCTTGTTCATTCACCAGCATCCACGAAACCTCTTTAAGAAGCCTCTGGCGAAGCCTTTCTATGGCCCTGATCGGTAAGTCGTTATTCCGGAATACGGAATACGGAATCCGCTTCGAGCTTTCCGTATTCCGCGCGTTGACTCGCCAGGTTAGGTGACGGCGAGAAGTTGGGGCTGTTTTATGTACGAAATTGCGTGATGTAACTGACGCGTCTGAGCTGGCAGATTTCCAAACTTGCCCGGCACGATCTTGGTCACGAAAAACAAAAGGGAGGGGGGAAACAAGGCTTCAAATTGTGCATCTGGGCCCTGCATCTGACTTGATATCGAAATGTGACCCTGAATTTGTTTTCTTGGCGGTCAGACACAGGCTGGTATTGGGTATTCGACGTTTCCCGTTTCTGAAATAAGGGCATTAGTCATTGCGTCTGGATTGCCCCACTCTTCACTATTCCCAGCTATTCCTGCAAAAAAGATGGAATTCACATGGACTGGCTGTTGGCACGATTTCGCCCGAGTCAGCAGCTAGGTGCTCTTTCCTCATTCTGTATTCTAGCCTTCCTTATTCTACTGATCGGTATACACTCTATTCCAAGAGGTTTGGTGTGATAAAAAAGATTGGTTGGCTTTAAGCCTATTCCGAGCCAGACCTGAGAAATTGCTCGGCACCATCCTTATTCCAGAATACGGCCAACCGATCAGGGGGGTCATTCGCTGGTAATTTTTATGGGAAGGGGAAGGGGCACGAGTAGTAGCACGGGCGACAGTCTCCCGGGCGAACAGAAGTTACGTGGCCGAACGTATTCGATAATTTTATTTGTGCCCGGGCGGACCCGAAGTCAAGACAGTCAAGTTAAATGATGGCAGTGGTCAAGCTTGCAGAAACAAGTAAAATAAATTTGCCGACAATGTGCAGTGACACCTTTCAGATGTGGGGACCTTCAACGAAAAAAATCCCCGACCATTCCAAATCGAATTGGCCAATCAAACGTGAGTGCACTGGCCAGCTCTGCGCGCCATGCCGAAGCGCCTCCGCTCAATACCACGACCTTGGTGGTATGAGTTGTATAAGGGGTATGGCACTAAGTTTGCCCCTAAGCTCTGGGCGGCGGATTTTGTGCGTTTTTGGGGGGAACGGGAAGAGGCACGCGACTTGGGAGTTCTAGGTTTGGAAATCGCCAACTAAACCAAACCCGTCGCATGATGACGTCATTCGTCGCACTAAACTTTCGGCGACCCAACGAACCCTCGTTTTATGTTCCGCATGCCAGCCCTTCCTCTCCGTGCCACTATAAAATTGGCCGACGAACGGCCCCAGGGCCTATAATCGCAGCTTCGCAACTTCAAGTTTCAAGCTCTCGCTGCACTGTTTAAATGTTGACTCGAGTGGCCGTTGCCACTAGCTCGCGTCCTCTATATGAGGAGAAATGAACCACTGTATAGGTCAAAGAAGATCAACCATATTCCCCCCTTCAAATCGTAGCTGTTAGAATGACGAAGTGAACTCTAGGAAGGCATACCGTAATCCCCCGGATATAGGCGCATCCCTTTATTTGGCCCATTGCGCATATGGAGTGCAAGTGCACTTACATCCGTTATTTCATTATAATCGCACCCATATTTTTGAAAATGTATTTCCTATAGGCGCATCACATTTTTGTCAAAACGCAAGTTAAACGAGGGATTTCCATATCGGAGTTTATGCCGTGTCCCTCCCGAGCGCCTCCCGAGCCAGAAGCGCGAATCTCGCTCAGTGTGTGTTGGCTCTGATTGGCTCGCAATACCTGTCATTCCCGAGTGGATCTGGTGGCGGAAGATTTGTCAGCCAACTTCTCGCGCTTTGTCAGAATGATGCCCTTTGGAAACGCGCTAGAATGCAAATGTCAAGAAATACATTTTCACGCGCTCAAATCTTTTTTCCATAAAATCCCTTTCATAAGCCCTGGGCTTATAATTTTTATTCGATTACAAGCGCATGCCACTTTTGTTAGGTATTTCCTATAAGCACCTATGCGCCTATATCCGGGGGATTACGGTATAGGGAGAAACATAGTTGGGTGTTGTACTCTCTAAGAGCATGAACGCATCTAGTCTATAACTATACATGCAAAACATATGCATAAGTTGACACACCCCCTCGTCTAGATAAGGGGCAATGCCTAGCATGTAACACGCAGCTCTGGGTAGCACTACTAGTCCAACCTCTGAGGCAGGGGTCCGAAGACCAGTCAGCAAGAGTGCAAACTAAACAAGAGTAACTCAGGGCGGCACTACAAGTCCTGTGTCAACATATATTTGTATATGTTATAGGCTGTATCAGTGGCGATGGCGGGGTCACAGCTCCGTCGGGACGCAGAGGGTCGGGCGCTCGACTTTGAGGCATGGCTCGTCCACCTTCGACGTCACCTTACAGGCCAGCGCTAGGACGGCCACTCCTTGGCTGTTCATGTCGATGGCCTACTTCCCCACCCCCCTGCCCCTGCTGCCCTCTCTGATGCCCCCACCACTGCCGAGCGTGAGGCCTTTTCCACTGCTGCGCTTGACCGTGTCGTCTGGGATTCGTGCGACGCTGTCGCCCAGCTTGCCATTAGCAGTGCGCTCCCGCTGTCTGAGCGTTCTCGCTTTACCACTGTAGCGAACGCCCAGGCCTTCTTAGATGCTGTCATTGCGTGCTATTCCAACCCCGCCACTGCCTCTGCCGGTCGCCTGATCCTTCCCATGCTGTTTCCCTGATCTTGCGTTCTTCCCCACTGTCGCCGACTTTGCCACGCACCTCCGCACGCTTGAGACAAGCACCGTGCTGCTAGCAGTAAGGCACAGCTCACTGCCTTCCGGCCGCCGTCCTGTGCTACCCTTTATCTCATCGCCACGCGCCTCTCTGACCGCCTAGCCACAGCCTGCGACCACTTCCTTAGACAGCACCCGGGTGACCTCACTCTCATCGCCTTTGTCACTGCCCTGTCTGAGATAGAGACCCGCCAGCGCAGTATCGCTCAGTCTAGCAGTAGTGCGGCGATACCTATTTTTCAGGGCTGTGCTCCCTCCCAGTGCACTTACTCTGACATCTCGGCTGCTGTTGCTGAGACCGATGCTGCGGCCTAAACGCAGAAGCGTCCGGATAGGGGTCGCCGCCCCAAAGGGAGGCATGGTGGGGGGAAGGGGGGTGGCGGTGGGGAGGGTGGCAGCAGTGAGGGCGGGGACAGTGGTTCAGACCACGGGACCGGGGCTGGTACCCCGGAGCAGCCGCAGCAGCAGACGCAGCCTCAGCAGCAGCAGCAGCAGACTCAGCAGCCGCAGCTGTCGCCGCAGTCGGCACAGAAGCAGCAGTCGCCATGGGGACCCGTGCCGCCATGGTGGACTGGCAGCGCTAGCGGCGGTGGTCGTGGGAGGGGGCGAGCGCAGCTCGATGTCGGGTGGCAGCTCCAGCGTGGTCACCTGCCAGTACCAGCTTCAGATTAGGAATGCTATGTCTGTCATGTATGTTGATGACATAATGTGATTGGATCCTATTACCCGGTGTTGCCTACAGTAGGTGTGTCCACCGTGTGTAGTCTAGGCTCCCCTGCTGTGTCAGGCGTAGGATCCCCTGCCTTGTTTAGCCTAGGCTCCACACTAGCCCCTCCCCCGGTAGCCGCTAGCGCTTCGCTCTCCTTCACACTCGACTCCGGTGCGTCTACCTGCATCTTCCGCGACCACACCTACCTTACCCCGCTGGCCGCCCCTGCCACCATCGCACTTGCAGACCCCTCCTCCGGTCCGGTAGTTGCACGTAGCTCCACCACCTTCCCTGCCCGGCGGCCTCCTCAGGCACTCTTACAGGCCTGCACCTCCCCTCGTTCTCTAGGAACCTAATTGGTGTTAGCTGTCTTCAGAACCTCGGCGTCACCACTACGTTCCCCGGACACGAGCGTTACGCGGTCTGCACCGAGACCACCACTGGTGTTCCTCTGACCACGTTCCCCCGGGACCCTGTGTCCGGCCTGTTTACGCTTGACACTGCGTCCCCCCAGGTGAGAGCGTCCCCCCAGGTAGCAGCGGCTTGCTCGTGTCGGTCGCTCACTCACCCGTCGCTGCTGTGGCACCACCGCCTAGGTCACCTTGCACTCCCGCGTCTAAGTCACATGTCTCAGCACAGTCTTGTCCTAGGTCTCCCTGCGTCGCTCCCTTCCCTCCCTCCCTCGCCTGCCCCGCCGTTCATGCCCTGAGTCGAGGGTCGGCTGCGCCATGCTCCTCACTCCTCCTCGCTTCGCCCTGCGAGCGCGCCACTCCAGACCTTGCACCTGGACGTCTGGGGTCCAGCCCCCGTCCCTGGGCCGCATCGAGAGCACTGCTTCCTGAGATTTGTTGATGACTACACGTGCTACACCACGGTGTTTCCTCTGGAGCGGAAGGCCGACGTGCCTGATGTTCTGATCCTGTGGGTCGTAGCTGCGCGAGTCCACCTTGGTCTCCCCGTGCTGTGTCTCCACTTCGACAGTGGCGGCAAGTTTGCCTCCGGTCGGCTTGGCCGGTTTTGTCGTGCGGAGGGCATCACCCAGTCGTACACCCTGCCGGACTCCCCACAGCAGAATGGGGTCATTGAGCGACACATCGGATTGGTCATGAAGGTGGCTCGTAGCTTCATGATCCATGCCAATGCACCCCATTTTCTGTGGCCTTTCGCTGCTCGCTACACCACTCACCAGCTGAACATGTGGCCCCACTCCTTGCGGCCGCAGGTTTCAGCGACCCTCCTTTGGACCGGGTCTCCTAGT